TTAGGGATTGACTGTATAGCCAATACATCCTTGAAAGAATGCATTTCAGATTTCATTTGATCCCCAGTCTAATTATTATTTAATTCATAATCAATTTAGAGAAGGAGTATAAAATTCCTGTTATAATTCATTTCAGGAAGATGCATTCCTGGTATCTGGCAATGCGACGGGCGGCCAGATTGCGAAGATCACCGGGACGAGTACAATTGCGCGGAAAGTTGCGGGAACGACGAGTACCTCTGTCCAACAGAAAAATGGTGCATACCGTTGACTTGGCACTGCAACGGAATCAGCGAATGCGCCAACGGGGAGGATGAAAAATTATGCGATTGTGCCCTCGATCAGTTCAAGTGCCAAACCGGAGGCTGCGTGGCTGCCGACCAGGTCTGCGACGGTATCGAACATTGCCCGGATCATTCTGACGAATGGGGATGTTTAATGGTGAACATGACCATGGAAAGAAATGCAACAGATGGAGAGAAGAAAGACAGTGACAATAGTACGGCTCAGGAGTCGAGCGAAAGTCCCTTATTAAAAATAAGGTAGTTTAAATTCGAGTTAATGAAATCTGATTTTGCGATTGAAATGATGAATGAATTAAATGAAATTCTAATTTTCCACAGACAACACAACGGCGAATACCGTCTGGTTTGCTCCGACGGATGGACCGAGGAATTCAGCAATTCCTACTGCCAAGCTTTAGGATTCGCTGGCTCGGAGAGCACGGAATTCCAAGGATGGAACAAAACTCAGAAGATCCTTCGATTAAAACCGAATTCTAATCACCGTATGCCTCTGGTCACGAATTTAGAAGAACAGGAAGAGTGCGTTTCGGAGAAAGTCGTGCAGGTATCTTGCCAAGAATTTTCCTGCGGTTCGCACTATGGCGAGGGACCAACGGCGAGACTAGTCGGTGGAACACCAGCCAGTGAAGGACAATGGTCCAGCGTGGCTCTGTTAAAGGAACCAAAACACGGTGCTGCTTGCACAGCGAGTATTCTGGGACCAATGCACGCACTCGCTAGTTACTCATGCATCCACAGGTAAATTAACATTTTTCATATAAAAAAAAGGATTCGAGATAGATTTAAATAAAATGTTTTAAATTTAGATATAAGCAGAGCAATGGATGGCAACTTTTCACGGGTGAAAATCTGCTGAAGGCACATCCCGTGAAAAACATCATTCCCTATCCACAAGTAAAATACAATCAATTTTTATACAATAATGACATCGCGTTGATAGAGTTGGAGAAGCCTCTAACATTCTCGAGGAACGTCAGCGCCGTGTGTCTCCCCAAACAGCGTATTCAGGTTCGCATCGATGCTCATCAATACGACTAATATAAAAAAATGTTATTCATTTCTATCTATCGATTTCAGTTGAGACAGATATGCGTAATGGTAGGATGGGGATTCTCCCCGAACGGTGAAGTGGACTTACAGAGATATCTGAACTTCCTGCCGTTGCCTACGTTCGATTCGGAGAAATGCAATGCAACTAGCCATTACGCAGGATTCATCACGAAGGACAATATCTGTGCAGGATTCACCGACACAGACAAAGGACCTTGCTACGTAAGATCTCGTTCTACGTGAAATAAAATAATTTAAATCACACGATCATCGTTTGATTCTATGAATAATTTTATTCAGAACGACGAAGGAGCACCTCTAATGTGTGTCAGTGAATCTGGTGGATCCGCCAGATGGGAGATTCAAGGGCTGCTGAGCCACCATAGCAGATGCTCCAGGGGCCACCCGGCGATCTACTCCAGCGTGGAGCCGGCGTTATCTTGGCTACGGAATTCCGTGCCCGCTTTGCAAACGCAAAGTTAAATCTCGATGGAAGAGAATGCGCGATTAAACGAGCTACGCGCTAATCGAAAGGCAATTTGTCGGAGAGAGGAACCGATCGAGCATGGGAGTTCCTGCGGAAATTGAGATGAAAACGATGTACTTAAGTTATAATATCCGTCTGTTATTTCAAACATGTTCCTATTTAAATACCAAGAACGCGTTCGACGGATAGCAATGAAACGGCGGCCATAATTCGTTTTGCATCGGAAAAAGACGTCTCGGAATGCAGATGATCGTTCTTTTTTTTTTTCTACGATATAACGCAATAATACGCGGCAAGAAACGCGAGATGATGGAAGTACATATAATTGGCGATACAGGATACTTATTTACAATTAAGAAGAATTTGTAAATACTGTATAAAGTGACTGTTTAATATGCTTAACGATGTAAGAGTGTTTCTTTTTCTACAGATTTATCGGTCTCTCAAGAAATGCTGTTTTATAGGCATGAGAAATTCGGAACGTTCAACGAGATCGTTCGTTCCGCTGAATAATCAATTATATAACTGTGTCTGAAACAAATTCTTGCTGACATCCGCAGTTTCCTGTTGCACCGAAGCTGCATCAGCGAAAGTGCAATGTGACCGACGCGTGTTCGTAAGAATTGTTTAAACGCGTATAAAACGAAAACTGACTATTTATTGGAAGGCAAGAGACTTATTTAAAAAGAAATAAATACATGCACGCAATTATCCATTCAATAAGTTTGTCTCAGAGATCCTAAGACACGTTTCTAAAGGATTCCTGAAATGAACGATGACGTAGGCTAAGAAATAGGTAGGACAAATGTATATAATACAGAAGTATTTTAAATAAAATACATTGTTACGAAGAGATATAATAATGAAATATGTATGCATAGTCAATGATGGATGCATAAGTATTTTTATATTCTAAGGTAAAAAATAAATGTACACTTTAAATGAAACCGAGTCCTTTCTTTTCCTTCCATTTTCTTTTTATATAAACGTGTTTATTCTTAGCATAACAAATAAATATACAATTATTATATAATAGAGAACATAATTTTAATCTAATTGTTTCTTGGGTGCTGCTGCGATTTCAGCTGCTGTCACGATGGCATCTATCGTGATCAATGATTTCGAGATGCTAGTTATTACTTCATTGTACTTGGAGAAAACATCGTTTATTTGATTATTCAATTCTTGAGAATCTTCGTACAATTTAAGATACGACAAGATTAGATCGTTTAACTTGTTAGATAATTCTGGCACGTCTTTCAATCGATCTGTTTCTAATACAGGCATGAGCTCTTCAACCTGTTTCAACATTTCATGATTCTGTTTAATCTCTGGTGCCATTGCCAACAGCAATTGAATCTTAGCTTCTATCGGTAATTCTGTACTCTCGACCACTGGATCTAAATAATTATTCAACTCTGGCAATCTTTTTATCATTACATTTGCTTTTTCTCTCCCTGACATCGCAGACGAGATCAACGTGTTTACATGTAAAAGGCTATCAATCACTGCACACTCAGGTGGAGTCTTGTTCTCGTTTCTCTTCTTAAGGCCATATATCTGTTTTTCCAAAGCAGCTATTCTATCCTCGAGCAATTCAATAGTTTCCATTCTAAATGTTAAAGAAATTGTTTGATTATATGCCTGTGCATAAATCTCCATTGATCAATGCAAATATGACACACTGAACATTGAATATTTACACAGAAACACAAAAAGCAGACACTCGTTAGTATTCTTTTTTGTAGAGAGCAAATGCAAGGAACTTAATCCAACACTTAGGGTTATTCAGAGTTAGAAATATTCTTCTGTGTCACTTGTTAACCCGCAATCAGCATAGCATGTATCAACAGCAGAAATTGTTACGAATATTATAATTTTACATGGCTGGACTTACTTGGAAAAATTGCTGACTTCCAAAGGTGTAATTCACAAAACTGTGCGTACAAATGTACAACTGTAATTCAAGCACAAACTTTGACAGATAAAATTAGGTTATTGAACGTGCGTTAGTACACTGAAGCGATGCAGTGACCGATGCAACGTGACTCAGTTCAGAGCAGTCGAAAAAAGGCGCGATACTGAACTTTCAGTATCGAAGTATTATCACATAAAACCCCTCAAAATTATAGCTTATGAACATCGAGGCATATATATAAAGAATAAACATTGCAGGATTCATAAATACATGCAATAAGCGCTGCTTAAATCTAACCATAAACATGTAGCTTTCATTCCGCATAATACCCATCTATTGTCGAATGCAGTACAGGAAAAACAGAAGGGAACATATATTCGGAAGAATCGTTGATTAAAAACGATCGCTTTTTGTAAGAACAGAGGAAAAGACTCACCAGACACCCGAAATCTCGATCGCCGGAGGACAAAGCGGCTGAGCTTTAAATAGACTCGTTAACACACATACATACGTAAACACGTATACGGAGGCTGCAATCGGACGTACTCGGCAAGTTCGCACTTTTAAATAAACTCTCTCCCTCGTATTCTCCCCACTTGACTTGGTGAAACTGTTACAAACGGATACCAGACAATGTCCGTAACAGAACCGCGCGTTGAGCAACTACGAACTGCGACCTGCGACGACGAAAATGGCGCACGAGAGCGAGGGAGATGGACGCGAGCGGCAAGGTAAGGTGGGGATGCGCAGTATCTGTCATGGCCGCCGTTCGCTCGCAGCGTAGTTTTAGTCAGGCCGCATCGCCGAGTGGTAAGCGGTGTGTTTGCTAGTGAAAATAAGAGAAGATGGGGCACGATAATGGGCAGACGTTCAAGCGAAGAAGGCGTTAGCGATCTCCCGGTCCTGATTGAGGACGATTTATGCGAGAGGCTCGCGACGATGGACTCGCGAGCGCGGAGGACTCGGCTACGTAGCGTCGTTGGGATTTGTTTGTTCCTCGCGCTGACGGGCATCATTTATCTCGGCTATTTCTGCCCGGATCATGTTTGCGCCCTGACCAGCCGCGAGATCAAGGAGTCCATCAGACTTTCCGAGGGCCTGTCCGGTTCCGGCTTGTCTTCCGTCTCCGTCGAACTTGAGAAAAATGGCCTGCTCTCGATGCATCCCGCGTTCAGATTGCAAAGCATCCAAGGGAGCCTCGGTTACGACGACGTATTTACCAACGACACCTTCCAGTTCGACATCAACGGCCACGACGTCATGGTTTTCTTGCACATTCAGAAGACTGGTGAGTTATCTTTTTTCTCTTCCGATCGTCGCGTGTCAATTTCTCACGAGTAATACGCTGTCACGATACAGATTCCTTTTCCCGTGACAGCGGGTTTATTCTACTCTCGCGATCTCTCAAAAACATTTCGCAGTTCTTCAAATGTTTCTATACCCTCTTTTATTCGATCCTGTACCTTGATTTCTTTCGATGAACACCATACGATCGCATGGCTCAATAAAAACAATGCAACATCCCTTCTGACCATTGTACAACCGAGCGTTTGCATTATTCATTAGGCACCGTGAAACCCGCAGGCCCTGTCTTAGTAGGAGAAAGAACAATTCAAAGATGTTGCCTCGTTTAATATGCCGTGCATGCACATTTCTGTTTCCTTTTTGTTTTCCAACGTACAGGCTTCCCTTTATCAGGACGTGCAATGATAGAACACGCGTGTCGTATACATAATGGAACGACATTGTTGCGAGAGTTATTAATTAATTATCAAACATTCTTTCACGTTGCAGGAGGCACGCTATTTGGCAAGCATCTGGTCAGAGATCTAGATCTGCAGAGGCCGTGCTCTTGTCAAAGGAGACGCAAGCGTTGTTTCTGTTTCCGTCCAAATCGCAATGAAAATTGGCTTTTCTCGAGATATTCCACGGGGTGGAAGTGCGGGTTACACGCCGACTGGACAGAGTTGACCAGTTGCGTCGACGCCGAGTTGAACAAAATCGAAGGGGACGGTATAAAACGTAGATACTTTTATATAACTATAATAAGGGATCCGGTCGCGAGGTACTTGTCGGAGTTCAGACACGTGCAAAGAGGAGCTACTTGGAGAGGAGCCCGTCACTGGTGTGCTGGGACCCAGGCGAACATACCCCAGTGCTATCCTGGATCCAGCTGGCAAGGCGTCTCTTTAGAACAGGTAAACAAATTTTCCTTATCATACAGTATTTCGTAACTTGGTACATCGTTATTTAGTATTCCCATAAATTCTGAACAGTGACTTCTCTCATAAGTAATTTAAGTATGTTATCTAAAATGCTTCACATTTAGAAACACATTAAGATATAAGCATTTTTCCTTATCTTGTCACTGTTTCTTCCCTCTCGAAATAGATACAATTTTCCTTGTTGATTTACTTTCGCTCCGGGAAACAAAAGATACACTCATATTTTACATAGACAACGCGAATTAGATCTATGAATGTATAATTTTTCAAATCAACAAATTAAGTAAAAGAGCCGTTACTATTTACGTAGTTCATGGCCTGTCCATATAATTTGGCAAGCAACCGGCAAACGAGAATGTTGGCCGATCTATCAATTGTTGGTTGTTACAATTCTACGCTGAGCAACTTGGAGAGAGATCGTCTCATGTTGGCTAGCGCTAAGCACAATTTGCAATTCATGCCTTTCTTCATGTTGACTGAATACCAAAAAGTAAGAATTCCGTTTTTTTTTTGTTCACAATGCCGTGTTGCATGCGCGTGTTTCTCTCCGCTATCAATCGTTATCGCACTAACCCGTTGATAAGAACTAGTCCTTCCCTTCTCTTATTATTTGCTAATATCGTTTACTCGTTTGAAATCGCGGATTCCCACACTGCTCCTCAGATTAGGGTAGTTCTATCACGATTGCGAAGTTTTAAAAGCTTACCACAATGAGAGATTCGTATCTTTTTAATTCTCATTAAAGAATTAGAATATTTAGCTTGTTTTTTAAATATTTATAAACGCGGTTCGCTATTAACGACAGAATGAATAATCGAAATAGATGTTGTACTTGTTCCCTAATGTACGCTAGTATGCGTACGTGTTGCTCGGCTCGTTCACGGTTCATCGATAGTATAAATCAGGCTTAAATCGTGCAAGTAAACATGGAAAAGTTCCGAGGTATTAGAGGCTGAAAATTCTTATTACTTAGCAAAATTATTCAATTGAAAATCGAAATCTTTGAACTCCAGTTAATCTTTTATCTTACGTTTTATAAAACAACTACCTTAGGCATCCTTTTTAATTTCGTTAGGTTCTGATTTATTTATGAATTCGCCAGATGTTAGTATGTTGAGATTGTTTTGCTTCTGAGTTGTTTGTACCGTCTGTATTAACAAAAACTTTTATGTCGTGCCGGAGAATCATCTGCTGGAAAGTAGCTTTTAATGTAAATATTAGTCTTACCCACCACCGTACATGGCCGATGAGCATGCACGAACATCCCACGCTTTTCATTTCGCATTCTTTCTCATTTTCGCTCTAGGCATTATATAACTGTGTAGTAGAGGAATGAGTGGTAACGCGGCTCTAAACTAATTCGATGTGTTTCATTCATAAATCGATGGATTAGAGTCAAATGATTAGCGAGTCCATTTGAAATCCTTCGAGTTGTACAATATTCCTAGTTAAATCTTTCTATTCTATTCACCTTTAAATAGTAGATTAATATGTTTCTGTTCCTGATACAAATTGCATGCAAAGTCCGCGGGAGTGAAATGCATATTTAATAAAGCAAAAATTCTGCACTTTCTAAAATCTGATCGGCCTTGACGCAACTAACATTCCAATCCTTGCTTTAAAGAGTGCTTTTGATTTTCGAATGATTGCTTCTTCTTCATGTGTTGCCTGGACATCCGCTTCTTATCGACGGTGTTATATGTACATAGTTAATTAAAATTGCGTAAAAATTAAATAGGTGGGACAATATTCGTTTGAGGAAACGTTCGGGATGAGGTTCGCCATTGCGTTCGAGCAACATAACGCGACGTTGAGTGCAGCTACGATGGCCACGTTGAGCCCCGAACAGTTAGACGCGGTGCGTAAGTTGAATAGATTGGATCTCGAGCTGTACGAGTTCGCAAAGAATCTAGCGTTCCAAAGGTTCAAACGGCTGAGAGATCGCGATCCGTACTTCGTGCAAAGATTTCAACACCTCGGCGAGCTGCCCTCGAGGCAGAGCGCGACGGAATTCAATTGGGATTCTGTTATCGAAGATACCACAGATGTTGAATGATACGTAAGTAGGCTGCTGATAAGCCCGATTGTTCGCGTCAGGATTGAGAAGGAAAGAAATCGTTGCTCTGAGTTGGAGCATCTCAGGGAATCGTCCTTGAATGAAAGAAATTTTACATAGAATTATTGCGTGCAGTCGTCTGCATGGAACTTACCAAAAGTGTTTATAGAAAATAATGCGTGGACAAGACCAAAGAGAGCTGAGAAAGGATCTTAATGTAACCCTTGAAATCCTCTCACGGTAGCTACGTGCGTAAAAAGAGATCGGATATCTTTTTACGTCCAGACGTTCTTCCTCTCGATGCAATTTTTTTTATTTACAAATCTATTTTATAAATGTACGTGACAGAGCAATCCGCGGATCAGTTTTGTTTGATAATAATCGATTTAAATGTTGAACATGCTAGAATTATTTTTTGACTACGTTCTTACATTAAAATATAGGAAATGTTTTAATATATTCTTTTAATATTTTATATGATACTCGGTATTTGCATTAGTATTCTCTCAAACGTGATAAAAATTAATTTTACGATCTTCTTATTAAAATTCCTTCTATGTATTATCGTACATATTTTTATTTCGTTCTCATAGTCTTTCGACTACATATCTTTCGCGATTAACATAATGAAAATCATTAGCTTGTTGCAAGTTTGCGTGAATATCGTTTAGTAATCTAATCATTAATATGAAAAAAATGTTGCGTTAGTAAGTCAAAGGTTACAGATTAGATCGGAATCTGTATTCCTAATTAGGAAGCAAAGGAGATAATAAAATTGACGTAACTTACGGCATGTATAAAGGTCCCTATTTACAGTTTTCAGTGAAACGATGAATAAACGGGGAATATTCATTTTGTACATATATCTAAGAGTCTATATTTTTTAATAGAATCATTTGCAGTGTTATTTGAACGAAGTGGTATGAAATTTAATAAAGACGATCCGCACGAGTGATGTAGGAGTGAATGGTCATTGGATAAACATGTTTAATATTAGACACTGATTATTTAACAATGTAATTGCTCACGGAGGTCGTTTTATTTTAGCCCGTAACACTTTCGAGACAATATTTCATGATGCGTCAGTCAGTGGTCGTTGATAAAAAAGAATTTGCGTAATTTCATAATTTAACTGTCTCGTGCAAGGTTCGTAGTCGTGTTAGATCGACGATTCGATGAGCTGAATTGGAAGGATCATAATAGAATTACGTGTGCAATAAGACTCGATGGGTTACCACTATAAATATCTTATATCACCAAGTCAAAAAGTAAATGTAATATATCCTACGTACATATATATATATTTATTATGTATCTAGCTAACTAGCATTAAATCATTACGAGGCAAAATGCAAATGCTCTCTGCAGCTGCGTATCCACCAGTTATGCAAGTAGTTCACACGCAAATCTTCGCCAAATGGTCATACGTTCATAAGCATATCAAATGTAATTTATTTGAATACCTTTTAACAACATTTTTCTATATTTCACGTCGCTGGTAGATACGTGGCTTTCAAAGCATTGTCGATCCTCAGTACCATGCTTATATTGTAAGTTGGATCATGAAACGAGTGCCATGAATCGTTTTTTTATTTAGCCTTGCCATTAGAAATGATTTCTATCATCTTTTCTAATTATTCGTAAAGTTCAGGCTTCTCGTGGCCTATAACATAGCGAATGCTTTCGAATGCACTTGTCAGTGGTAGTAGTATAACGAAACCTACCTGTTTCTTCAAGGAAGTCAACATTTCGTTTAATACTATTACCATTCACGAGTGAACTCCAGAACTATATTTATATATGTATAATGTTAAGCAAACATGATTAACGATCATTTAAAAGTAACGTTAAGGACCAAAGATTGAATAAGTTTTTACAGTGAGCGCAGAGAGCTTGTTTCAAGCGGTTGTAAAAGAAATTTTTTATATGTTAAACAAAGCGATCGTTGTAAATGGAAAATGTATTCCGAGGTGTCTCCACTGGATGATATTATAGATACAATTAGTATTCGACGAACGATCTTCTAGGCATCGATATGCAAGACGATATTTAATATACCCCTATTTTCGCACATTTATCTTTAGTATACGTTTTACAATAAATAATTCAAAGGCGAATCGAACTTACTAAATTACACAGGGTTTGCAGTATTTTAAAACGAACGCGAGGACGTATTTTGGGGGCGTCGTTTTAATTCCTTAAATTCTACTGATTGTGTACCTATACCTATCTCTGCCATTTGTTTTGAAAACGTGCATAATGAAATACTTATCTCGTTGTGTGCGCGTGTCGGAATGCTCGTGATTGTTTAGGTGTGTTCTTCGTACTATCAGCATTGTAAAAAGCATGCGTAAGCATAATATACTCTTCAAGATTAGGGTGAATGAATGACTAGCTTTAATACGTAACGCGAAGTTTTTCACGTGAAATCGAGTTGTAATGGACAAAGGGAAGTAACGTAAGAGGATGGAGCCATGACAGTAGCCTAATAAATGCAAATTCTAGGCCTAAGCCAATGGTACCTTAAGTAAACCAGTGTACATACTATACCATTAAATTTCTAAGGAACAATAAATCGTTGTGTACACAATATAATACATATACACTCTTATACAGACATTATATATACATATATATATATAAAATACATATATATATATATAATATATATAAAAGTATATGTAAGTTGTACACACATTTAAAATTATGTTATTTGGTTATTAAACAATTATACAAAGGAAAGTATGTTATTATTTTAAGGTGTACTAAATCTGGATAGCGAAAGTGATTTTATGTATTGTATTGTAAACTTTTGTACGCGCCACGCTGAAAGTATGGTAGGGAAAAAGAAGAACGAAGACAATATATAAATTAAAATGTTTATTTTGCGACTGTTAATTAAATATATTTGTACATCGTTATTCAGAGAAATAGTCCTTGTTATTCATAAAATTATATTTGAAGGGATCTCCTTATTCCGAAATTAGAAAAATGTTTAGTTCGGCAATTTAATATTAGACTCGAGCAGGATGGACATCGAATGCTTTGATACAAGTTACTGGTACAATTTATACTGTTCGCTAGAGTAGTGACTGCTCCAGCATTATTTTTTCGAATCCTATGGGTGGAGGATGTGCAAAGTTATCCAAAATTAAATCTAATATGGCCCCATCGTCCACTGTAAAGAGGAATAGATAATGATTCTTATATATCAGATGTTAATTTCATTTTTCGTTAGTTTAATAGCTAGAGATTACCATATAGTATCGGGTACACAGTTCCTTTTATTCCCATTACTGGAGCTTCCAAAGATTTTCCATTTAAGTAGAAATTAAGTTCTATATGATCGTAAGACACACCCTGAGGAATAACAGACCATTAATTCGCGAATCTTCAGTCCCTTGAACGTAATAAATCACGAGTGACCACTTACTATAATATCGCCTTCTTGAATTTGGTTCGCAATCTTCTGTACTTCTTGTTGATTATGCCTTATGATGTTATCAGAGTTAAGCGCCCAGCTTTCAGTATCGTTTCCACCAGTAGTTACATTGAGATCCGTGGATCTTGTGGCTAACCCGATAGCCCACACACCCCCTTGTTGTATTTTAACTTCGAAATAACTTTTGCTCTGGGCAAGGGGAGCGTTCGTTAAGGCACCACCACGGCCGCACACTCTTAGACCATTTTTTACTATCACAACTTCGTGTCCTGTAACAAAAGGATATTGTCTCAGTTGTTACACATCTCGAGAAAATTGCGCGTTAACGTGGAAGGCGATGGGAAACAAAATAGTTCTCGCACGATCGTAATAAATCATGAATGACAGTAAATGCACGTCGTTATCTTCGCAGACGCGTGGAACATGTAAATTTTATGCAAACACCCGGGACGCGATTATATTCGCATACTATTATCAACGTTATTATTTCGACGATAGTAGCGAGGAAATTACCCATGTAAGACGTGTCTAAAGCTATAGGATTCGGCTCTCTCTTTGGCGTTTGATTCGCGGCGAAGCCGAGGCCGTCAAAACAGTTCCTCAAGCAGCAGAACATCATCGTCGTCGTCGTCTCTTTCTCCTGGTTCGTTCAGACGAGGGAGCGCACCATCGTGCAGGAGAAAAATCACTTTTTCTCCCGTTAAAATCGTACCGTTTGCGATATTTACTTCCGTCACACCGAGAACCTCATACACTATGCAAACGCTTACAATTAGATGGATGGTGAACCAGTGGTGTGCGCATTTCTACGTAGGCTGAGAGTCTCCGTTTCAGTGTGTAGGTAGACTATACGTATATAGTTGACGGAAAATGGCTTCCTTTCTTATTTACACAATCGATATTTCATCCTCTTTTATAGTTTACTACGTACCAATTTTCGTCATAGGTATTACGTACTCTACTTTCCCTTTATTTTCTATATGTGTCAAATATTAATTATGGAATACATGTGTTATATTAGTATTTTAAATTCGAGGTTACATTTCCCTGTTTCTTTTACGAGTCTTGTAAAAAAATTTTGAAACACAATAGTAATGTTATCATCGACATATTTTTCATGTAGTATAGATAGGAATTGAAATATTGGTGGGTAAGGAGAGGAATTAACGCAGTTCTTTTAGTACCAAAGTGCTATTTATTTGTTTATTTTATACAATAAAGAATTTTTATACCCGGCTAGGATATAACATCTGAAAACAGAAACATGGTATTAAATTGGTTATAAAATGAAACAGATATAATAAGGAACTTACAATCCTGATACGGTGACCCATAGCTTTAGCTGGCAGGTTCCTCTTAAATTTAGCACGTACTGAACCACTGGTTCCATGTGGCCTCGTCACTTTGCCCCAAATTGCCCTAACTTTTGTTTTCCTGCCCTTCTTACCAGGAACAGGAGTCTTATTCTTTGACTGTAAAGAACAAATGTATTACCAGAATGTTCAATTGTTTGTATGCTTCGATAACAAAAGAAGATAGATTTACCTTATATACATAGACACATCGTTTTCCTACGTAAAAATCGGAATCTCCTTTGGCCCTCGCGCCTTCTACTTTGAGGAGTGCTGTATGTTCATGTTGATTACGCAGACCACGTTTATAACCAGTGAAAATTGCCTTGGCATAGAGACGTCCGTGCCTTTTGAACGGCCTCTTCTTCAGAGGAACTGGAGTCGTTGGCTTCTCCTTCGGCTTCTTCGTTGCTTTCGTTTTAGCTTTTGCTTCAGCAGGTGCGTCTGCCATTTCTGGCGAATAATACATTAAACTTAGATAGAATAATTCGACAGACTTTATGCATTTATAATTAAATTGTAGCTATAGATAGGAACACTGGAAAATCTCATAAATGAATGCATATTGCAATGAGAGAAATTTCAATCTAAAATTCTTTTAATTGATAAACGCTTTATTTTGCATAAACATCCGCAGCTTAGATCAACGTAGAAGAAGTTGTATCACGATTTAGATTCCGTAAAGATTGATCACACAAAATTAAAATAGAACGTTTGGTTATGACTGAGTAAGTAAATCGTAAAGTAGAATGAAGTAAACCTCCACTTTGCTATTGAAATAAAATTATTACAACACTGTATATCNGGGAGTTTGACACCGTGAAACGTACCGGATGTGTATCGCGGACTGAAAGAAACAGGAAACTGTAGCCCTCGTCCGAGAGACGTACGAAATAATTGCGTCGTTCGGAAATAACGTGAACATCGCTAGGTGTCGCCCACTGTCCTGAACATCGTCAGTCAAAGTGAGTGAAAATGGTGGCAAGAGCGAGTGCTAAAAATTGTTGTTAAGATTGTTATTAAGATTGTTATTAACATTCTGCGTTGTACTTGAAACTGAGCCAATCTTTGGTAAGTTCTTATGGTTACAATAATGACGGATTACAACGTACGCTGTTCGAGACGATTAAGAGATCGTTATTTCAAAGTCTCCGTGTCGATTCTACGCATCCTATAGCTAGATATTCTACGAAAATAAGAAATGCTGTAAGCAGACTAGATTAATATGAAATTTAATTAAATTGAACGATGTTTTAATCGTTTTGATCAGAGTACTTATTTATTGTAAGATTTGCCAAGTAGAAACACAAGTTCGTATCTGTATTACATTTTATGATTTGCACGTACCATTTTATGAGAATATTTTAAAAGACTTGTTTTATAATTAATATTACGTACTTCGTTTGTTGAGGTACATTCTTTTTTATTAGTCATATTACTTTAAATGAAATGGGCATTCCATTTCTTTGATCATAAATATAAGCGTATGAAAGTAGAATTACACTCTTTATTGTCGGAACAAAGGAGGAACATTGTTTGTTTTATGATCGAAAAACATTTCCTCTTTCGACAATTTCCGTGTTTTTCATTCAACACGCCACTGGCTTCGCTAAGCATAAAAGCGTGAATGGAATATTATCGTGGAACGCTGTCTATCCGCATTTTTATATACGATTAAAACCAAGAATATTGTGTATATCCAAAATAATCGATACTTCGTTTCTCAAATCAAACGCAGAATGATACATGAGCAATGATTCCGATATTGAGTACATAGTATCTTCCTGCAGTGGCAATTCACCTAAAATTCGATTGGCTTGTCTGTTTCAATTTCTATCAACACTCGATGCAAAGTTTGTACAGTAATTAAATCATGAATCGTCTGATCATCGATGTACAACTTCTACTTAATCTCTTCTATAGTAAAAGTCATAGTATTAGTTCTGAAACTTATGGAACTCTAATTAATTTCGAACGGGTCTAACTTTATTTATTTTCTACGGAAAACTACTAACACTAGTCTCCTTTAGATATGCATTTCTCTATTTAAAACCAGTCATTTCGGCTGCTTTGGTACTTCTAATGTTAAATGAGAAGTGCTTAATATTTTCGAACGAGCAGAAAAATTGGAATGGGGCAACAGGAATATTTTCGCGCTCCCTCCAACAACTATGCTTAAAAAGGAAAAGCGTAAAGAACAAGAAGAACATAAAAGTGGTGAATATTTCGTATCCAATAAGCGCTCTTTACGATCGGCATTGTTTGCAGACGTGCTCGACCGTTTTACACGGTCGGGCTGTAGTTAAAACCGCCGATATAAAACCCTGCGTTTATTTTTCCTAGGTAAACCCTTTGCTAGTCCACGTCCGATCGAATTGCCGGCCTCACGTTCGTTTTATCCCTCGCCTACGTTTCTTTGCATGACAGCTCGAACCCTTCTCAGATATAATACTTTAGGATGAAAGCTAGCCGGGTTAACAGTAAAATTTATATCTTTCGTGCGTGGGTCAAGATCAAGATTTATGATCGACGTAGGGTAGCTAGAATTGTTAGAGAATCTAGTTTCTTTGCTATAGAATAGAAGCTATTCCATGGCATTGTTCGTCGTTGAATTAATTATATCAATAGTTATAAGTCAGTCGGTCGTGATTATTAAAAATGTAGAAAAATCAGAAGAACTATGTTTTACTTGAAACGAGTATGATTTAAAATGAGACTAAGGGAGTTCAATTCGAAGGGGATGAATCCGATCGAAGTCTACAGGGAGGATCTATGAAAGAGCGGGAGGGAAAAGAGTTGCTCTTTGTTTCGCTTAGTGAAATCGTCATTTGTCGAGTGTCTAGCGGGCGTAGACGACGGCGACGTGAACCGGGATGGATGATAACAATGATAATGACGATGACGAGCGGGGACGACCGGCTCGAATGACAGAGTCTGCGGCAGTCGAGTGAACTGCGCCTGCAGAAACAATGCCTGCTGAATTTCCGCTCCGATTATTCGCCACTGTGGAACGCATAAAACGAGCCCCCGAATCTGATACGTGTGTATCCGCGTCTTGATGCCTCTCTGCCCCCTCGCTTTCTCGCACCCTCTTTCTCTCCCGCCCACCGCCGCCGCCGCCGCGGCGACAATGAACGAGGAACTATCCGAGCGAACGGCCCGCTCCGCTCTCCGCGACAATGACGCCGGGACTTCGATACGCTTCTCCGATGAAACGAGATCCCGGCGATTGTACGTATTGATCGATCCGAGCGTTGCCACGTTTGACGCGTGAAATTGAAGGCACTACCCTGGTACACCGGAGTCTTGGAACGAGACTAGCAAGGATCCAGTTGCATTGTTTCGATTGTAATGAAAGTGCCATTATGCCCGATTGTTTAGTGCCGGTATTTAAGTTGCACGCCGAATGCAGAATATTCACGGTTCAATAGAATATTTCGCGAGACCCTCCCACGACACGTTCGATACACCTTTGTATTCATCGTACAATAAAAATTGAATAGCGAGATATAGATATACGGTGAGCAGTAAAACAGCTTCCTTACAACAGGGATCGTATCAGAAGCGAACGCATATTGATAACAGAAATTTCTGCATAAATGTTTTATTTTCTATAAAAATCCAGTTTACTCGTCGGATCATTTTATTTCACGTCTTTGTTCTACTTGTCCTGCTGTCGTCTCGTCTTATAGTTCTTTCCCACAAACACGCTTCGGCCCTTTTCACTCTATTGAACCGGTCCCTGTTGCTCGTCGATTGTTGCCTCCCTGCTTTTGTGCGCATCTTCGCCTCTCTCTCTTCCTCTGGGGGTACGCAGGAAACAATGTCATCTATCTTCCGTTGCGATCCACATCCGGTGCATCGTGGCGAAATTACCGGTACTAATACAGGCTCGTGTCGCCCGGCCACGGCTATTCACACGTACACTGCCCGGTCAACTGGTCCAGATGTACCTACTTATCTGCGTGTTCTCTCCTGGCACCGCTTTTCCGTGGCTCCCCAGGCGACGCCGCGGGACACCTGACGGTGTTTTCACGGTGCAGGTGAAGTTTTTTCATGAAAGGCAGCTTCGCCACTGATTTATGGTGCTCGCCAGAGGAACGCTTGACAATTATAGATCTACGCGGAGTATAGTGCCTCGAATATAAAGAATAGTAAGTAAAAAAGGTTTCTCGTGTATTCGTCATTTCGTGTTACAATACTTATGGAATATAATTAGTTGACCAGTTGAATTATTCTTTATTTATTAAATTTATTTTGTAGGGACTTGGATCGTTTCGTTCGATGGAGTCAGTAAATAATCGTCAGTTTTCACAAGCTTCGTACACAATTATGTACTCGAGAAGTTTAATCGTAACTGACGTAAGTGTAGATATTTTTTTAAACCTCTACCATCGTGAAATGCAACGGCGTTGTGCACGGCGCAAAGAGGCTTCAGAATTTTATCTATCCATCTTTATGGGCACTTCAGCTTGTCTTAAAAGCACCTGAGAGAAGTTCGTAAAAGCTATGCACGTAAACTTTCCTCGGGATAATGGCCGCGATATGACTTTATTATGAACCAGTCCTGTTACTTAAGAATTCTCATATTGCAGACAAGTGTTTCGTCCAGTTAACTATACAGACTAACGCCTCTTTGATCGAGCCTTCCCTGAGAATTTTACAAAGCAATATCGTTCATTATATTAGAATTGTAGCCTAATTCAATTTTCTAGTCAAACTTTATTGAGTTATGAAAAGATTTAATAAGGATGATATGAACTTTTATACAAAACTTAACGTTTGTAATGTCAATCTTAAAAATGAATGTTTACGTCTTTTCTCATATTTAACGTGAACTAAATTTTGGAATTTGCTCCATGAAATTTCTATTCTGATCTGATTATACTAATAATAACCAACGATAGCTTCTTCACATTGTAATTCATCACTGAACGTGTAAACGGATTTAAATTATAAGATAATCGCGTTCACTATGAATATCTACTGCTGGAAAATCCCAAAGTGAATCACATCGGAATAAAACGTACTTAAATGTAAGAATGGAGGAATAAAGAGATAAATCGGACGTGTACCCGGCGAAGCGAGCCAAGAGGGATTCGAAGTAAAAATCCCTGGGTGAAATTCCGGTTTGCTGGGAGGTTCCCGTTTCCGTCTCGCGGATGGACTCGGATCAGATCCATCGGCTACGATCAATAAACCATCCGCGGATACACGAACAACCTGTCATAAACTTGGAGAGAATATGTCGGGCACGTATGACGAGGACCATCGCGATCCATATGCGGCCGTACTTCTTCGTACGTGCCGCAGACTGGAAGCGTAACGCGCCGCGGGGCATCGAGGAAGCTCGAAAAAGAAAATGCGAGTTACATTTCTTTCTCTGGCCCCGAGAGATTCAATATTTCACCCCTTAGCGCCTGTAAGAGATCCTTACGCTCAAACTTTCCACGGGAAATTCACCCTTTTCCACGCGCCCTTCTACGCGTTCGTGTGTACCTAGCAACGCTAGTCATCGAAACTTCCAACGTTAGTGTCTTCCCCGTTGGAAACTTTACCACGATTCGTATTTCGCATTGCGCCCGGAGTGAAACAATCATTCCATTCGAATGACAAGTTCTCGTCTTTTAGATAGGCACTTAGTACAATCGTGACGCTTCTGATATTAATTCGTACGTGCATATACATGTATTCAATTATTAAGAGTTCAGGGACTGCAGGTCTTCGCTTGGTATTGTTTCCAAAGAATGGACAGGTTTCATAAAGTCGATTCGAACACTGATTTCAAGTAGCTACTCTCAGGATTAATGGAATGAGGAAGAATTGTGAAATAAAAATGCTAAGATTTGTTTTTCATTCATTTATTAATGAAAATTCAATCGAATTCTTTGTTTTATTTCGTAACATTTATTAGCATATACATTGGAGTGAAAGA